ATGGAAAACTTGAATTTCTCTCCCATAATGCATTGCACATCTGCTCAGTAAAATGCTCAATAGATGCAAACATTTAATTTCTCTCCCATAGTGCTTTGCCCATCTGTTTAGTGCCATGCTAAGTAGATGCAAAACTTGAATTTCTCTTCCATAATGCTTTGCACATCTGCTCAGTAAAATGCTCAATAAATGCAAAACTTGAATTTCTCTTAAATAATGCATTGCAAATCTGTTTAGTGCCATGCTCAGTAGATGGAAAACTTAAATTTCTCTCTCATAATGCATTGCACATCTGTTTAGTGCCATGCTAAGTAGATGCAAAACTTGGATTTCTCTCCCATAATGCTTTGCACATCTGCTCAGTAAAATGCTCAATAAATGCAAAACTTGAATTTCTCTTAAATAATGCATTGCTCATCTGTTTAGTGCCATGCTCAGTAGATGGAAAACTTGCATTTCTCTCCTATAATGCATTGCACATCTGTTTAGTGCCATGCTAAGTAGATGCAAAACTTGAATTTCTCTCCCATAATGCTTTGCACATCTGCTCAGTAAAATGCTCAGTATATGCAAAACTTGAATTTCTCTACCATAATGCATTGCACATCTGTTTAGTGCCATGCTCAGTAGATGCAAAACTTGAATTTCTCTCCCATAATGCATTGCACATCTGTTTAGTGCCATGCTAAGTAGATGCAAAACTTGAATTTCTCTCCCATAATGCTTTGCACATCTGCTCAGTAAAATGCTCAGTAGATGGAAAAATTTAATTTCTCTCCCATAATGCATTGCACATCTGTTTAGTGCCATGCTAAGTAGATGCAAAACTTGAATTTCTCTCCCATAATGCTTTGCACATCTGCTCAGTAAAATGCTCAATAGCTGCAAAACTTGAATTTCTCTTAAATAATGCATTGCAAATCTGTTTAGTGCCATGCTCAGTAGATGCAAAACTTGAATTTCTCTCCCATAATGCTTTGCACATCTGTTTAGTGCCATGCTCAGTAGATGCAAAACTTGCATTTCTTTCCTATAATGCATTGCACATGCAAAACTTGAATTTCTTCCCATAATGCATTGCACATCTGTTTAGTGCCATGCTCAGTAGATGCAAAACTTGAATTTCTCTCCCATAATGCTTTGCACATCTGCTCAGTAAAATGCTCAATGAATGCAAAACTTGAATTTCTCTTCCATAATGCATTGCACATCTGTTTAGTGCCATGCTAAGTAGATGGAAAACTTAAATTTCTCTCCCATAATGCCTTGCCCATCTGTTTGGTGCCATGCTCAGTAGATGCAAAACTTGAATTTCTCTTCCATAATGCTTTGCCCATCTGTTTAGTGCCATGCTCAGTATATGCAAAACTTGAATTTCTCTCCCATAATGCTTTGCCCATCTGTTTAGTGCCATGCTCAGTAGATGCAAAACTTGAATTTCTCTTCCATAATGCACTGCACATTTGCCCAGTAGATGTAAAACTTGAATTTCTCTCCCATAATGCATTGCACATCTGCTCAGTAAAATGCTCAATAGATGCAAAACTTTAATTTCTCTCCCATAATGCATTGCACATTTACTTAAAATTACATAAAAAATTACATAAACAAATTTCAATGGAATAAAAATTAGGGCACTCAGAGGTTTATAGTGAAATTTTCAGCTTATACACGTAGATATATCTAACACAGTTTCTATCAAATGTAGGAATTTATTTTAAATTCACAATTTTAACCATTATTCCATTTTGCAATTTCCTTTTACAGTGATTTTGTTTCTTTATGATATTACTCTCATATTATTTGCATGTAGTATAATCCTCATTTGTGAAAACCACAGTATCATTCTTTACGTACATTTCTTTTGTTCATGTTAAATTCCACATGAGTTTTATCATAGTATTATTTTTGGTTGTTATTCTATTAAACATGATTAGCTTGAGCAAGCTGTGACAAGCTGCAAATTCAAGGTCGTATCGATTAAGCATAGTATTAAGCTTCTGTTACTTTAAAATCTGTTCCATTTAATAAACAGGGGATTGTGCGTTACATACAATTTGTATGTATTGGAGGGTGACTGTTCTTATTATATTTAACAGTCACATTTAGTGGTAAGTGTCTTGTGAACGTACATGTGTATTTGAAGTATTTTTTAATGATGCTTGTGTCTGTCTTTGAGAAATAGTTTCATTATTGGTCATAGTGGTTAATTTGATATCTGAATTTTTTGGTAAAAGACTGTCATATTTTTATGTATTTTTTGCTATCTCGTCTGACTATTTGTAAAAACGTCTCTAGAAGCTGTTATTATCTGTTGATTTTAGTAAGATTTGATATTATTCTCAATGAAAGTGAGAAAATTAATAAATTATCATAAATTTTTTAACATACTTATAATTCTCACAATGAAAGGGTGAAAATATAAAAATTTTCACCAATAATGATGGGAATAATATAAAATCTTGCAAAACTGCAATAAAAAGTGTCAGTATCTTTTAACCAATCTGTCTAACTTTTCTGTTATATATATATATAATCCATAGTTGTGTGTTGGAGCTCTTATTGTCCATGTCTATTCATTTCATTCAGTATGCAAATTTGTTATTTCTTTAACCAAATGACAATGTTATTGGATTGATGTGTATAAATAATTTATTAACAATCATTTGATAATATTTGAAATTAACAATATTAATCAGATATTACATACTGAATCCAAAATCAATTAGGTTCCTGTGTCAGCCATCGTGAGATTATTAACAATTTCATCAAAATTATTTATTATAACTACAATCAATCATTGAAACTTATTAGTCTTCTAAAAATTTATTTTAATCGTCTGTAAAACAACAATGAAATTCATAGAGTTAAAAATTGTACAGTGTTAGTTCTTCTATGATTTCACAATTCATACTTTCACTAGCTTTCCTGCACATTCAATAGATATATTAATTAACTCAAGTTTAACCAATCATTGGACATATTGATTTAGAATCATGTTTTATATCTATGATAATTCAAAAGGTTAGTAAGGAAGCAGCATGTTGACTGGCTTAATTTAGCTTAAAACAGCTTAACAAAATATTTCTGATACAGTGTCACTCTGCCATTGCAAATCCTATTCAGGGCATACTAAGTGAGAAATTCAATTTAATTTCTACCCCTCACTCACTGCATGGCATACTTGAACTTTTTGAGTCTGCATTCTTTCAAACCCTTGCCCACCCAACCTGTATTTGAACATTTTTTAACAAACTTAGTTTATTCCCCACCCTTATAAACCCTTACCCATCCTGTATCGTGACACTTTTGTAACAAAAATAGGTTTATTATAGTTCAACTATTACAAACCCTTGTCCACCAATCATGTATTGAGGCTCTTTGTAACAAATTTATTGAGTCCCCATCATTGTAAACCCTTGCTTACCCACCCTGTAATTGGACATTTTTTAACAAACTTATTATAGTCCAACTCTTGCAAACCCTTCTCCACCCATCCATCCTGTATTGGGGCTCTTTGTAACAAACCTAATTAGTCCCCATCCTTGTAAACCCTTGCCCACCCACCCTGTATTTGGGTACTTTATAACAAACTTATTATAGTTCCCACTTTTGCAAACCCTTTTCCATCCATCCTGTATTGGGGCTCTTTGTAACAAACTTATTGAGTCCCCATCCTTGTAAACCCTTGCCCACCCACCCTGTATTTGGGTACTTTATAACAAACTTATTTTAGTCCCACTCTTGCAAACCCTTCTCCACCCATCCAGTATTGGGGCTCTTTGTAACAAATTTATTGAGTCCCCATCCTTGTAAACCCTTGCCCACCCACCCTGAATTTGGGTACTTTATAACAAACTTATTATAGTCCCACTCTTGCAAACCATTGTCCACCAACCCTGTATTGGGCTCTTTGTAACAAACTTATTTAGTCCCCATCCTTGTAGACCCTTGTCCACTCATCCTGTATTGGGGTACTTTATAACAAACTTGGTTTAGTCCTCACCCTTATAAACCTTACCTACCCCATATTGGGACACTTTGTAACAAACATTAAGCTTATTATAGACCCCAACCTTGGAAACCTGTGTGCACCCATCCTGTATTGTGGCACTTTATAACAAATTTATTATAATCCCCACCATGGTAAACACTTACCTATCCATTCTGTATTGGGATACTTTGTAACACACTTATTTAGTTCCCATTCTTGTAAACCCTTGCCTACGCAATCTGAATTTGGGCACTTTGTAACACGCTTACTCTATTCCCCACCCTTGTAAACTCTGGCCCACCTATACTATATTGTGGCACTCATAACTAACCTGTTTTAGTCTCCATTATTGTGAACCCTAGCCCAACCAACCTTTTTATCAGGCACTTTGTAACTAACCTATTTTAGAGTCCAACCATGTAAACCCTTGGCCACCCATCCTGGTTGGGGGAACTTAGTAGAAAACTTATTATAGTTCCCACCTTTGTAAATCCTTGTATTTAATTGGGACATTTTGTATTAAACATAATTTAGTTCCCATCATTGTGAACTATTGCCAAGCTACACTGTATTTGAACAGTTAAAAAAAAGAGTTTTAGCCCCCACCATTGTAAATCCTTGTCTACCCACCATGTATTAATGCACTTTATAACAAACTTACTTGGTTCCCACCCGTGTAAATCCTCGCTCATCAACCCTCTATGAGGACACTTTGCAACAAACATGTTTTAGTCACCATCCGTCTAAACCTTTGCCCACCCAACCTGTATTAGGGCACTTTGTAACAAACCTGTTTCAGTCCCACCCTTGTAAACTATGGCCCGCCCACCCTGTACTGGGGCACTCAGTATCAACACATTTATTATTGTCTGCTTCCCCCTGTAACCCTAGTCAACCCACCACCCACTGCAAGCAAAATAGAAAAAGATAACACTTTGTTAAAGAACAATGCATGTTATTAATAACCACATTGCATGTCTTGTTGTTATTGTTTGTAGTGTTCATAATGGAGATAGTGCCACCATACATGACTGTCCCTCCCTATTGTGAACTAAAACCATCAAGTGTAGAGTTCAATAAAATTGGTAAGTTTATCTATCTGATATAAATGTATTTGGGTTCTTTTTAAGTAATCATTGTAATGTTCCCACAAGTAAGTGATGATTGATTCCCAGTGATGAGTTTTCATGTACTCATTTTTTCCCATCAATAATAAGCTTCCCTGATGTGTGATCTCAGGGTGGCTATTGTAGAAAAATTATTTAACTTGTCAAAAACGAAATGTGGTTGTGAAAGCACTAGTGTCCTTGTGCTGCATCATGTTCAGTATGAATCTCATAACACATCATTGCATGTTAATCTTGTTTACAAAATGTGCAACTCATTTTGGTTGCTTTTATTAAAATAAAATTTGAAAAAACTACACAAATACAAAGTTATCCATAAAACTTGTTATGCATGAATCACAATATTGCTTAAATACACATTCTGCAGTAGTTTAATTATTTAAATATATTTACCATACATTTTTAAAATAAGCTGCTTTGTTTTTTAGGTATATGGGCAAAACATTTTATCAAAGCAGATAGTCGCTTTGGACCATATGAAGGAGTTAAGAAGAAACTGACGGAAAAATCTGATTCGTACTATTCATGGGAGGTAAGTCATTTCAAAAGTTTTCCACATTCACCTATATTTTGGCATTTATGAAAATCATATACTTAGCTCCAATTGTTGTACATGAATGTACCAGGCTGCTAATTGCTGCCACATCATCAAACATTGAGGTAAAACCATTGAACAAACATTCCAAACTGAGAAAACATGTTAAGGATTATTTCAGCTGAAAGCAGAGACTGATAATTTTACCTCTGTGTATCCAGCTGTGCATCAACAACAGTTTGTATCTCAGACTTACATCGATTGGTAATGTTTAAATTTACTCATACATGTGCATATGTGTCCTATAGTGTAATTCTTTTGAGATCAGATACAAAATAGCTGATGATGGTGGTCATTCTGTTTTAATGATTTAAATGACTGGACCAATCATGTAAAAGATGTCATTTATCTTGGGATACATATTCATCTAAACATTAGTTCACATTTCATTTCATTCACGATGAGTATGTGACAGTCATTCCAGTGCTAAATATCCATAAAAAACAAGGATTTATGCCATTCCAGAATCTGATCCTAGTTATGTATGGACAGATTTGGTTCAAACTCAGTATATACATTTTGTTTATAAAATTGGATCCAAGATGTCCACCAGATAGACAAATCTACATCTACCTTGGCCAATCATACTCAATTAAATCATGTCATACATTATGCACATCCATTTGTAAAAATGCATCAAAATCAACTTCATGTGGATTAAGTTATATGAAGCATTGTATTTTGTTTTACCAATCTGCCGAAAAATTACTCATTATTGGCCATTACTATTTTCTCAAATCTGTGCATAAAACAAGGCATTTGCATGTCATTTTAAACTGCATCTGGTGTGTTTGTGCAAATGAATTGAATAGTTTTGGGTATAATAATTCCCCATGCTGCATACTTATAACTAAATTTAGCATCACTTTGTTGCACAACTAATTGCTCAAGTGATTTGATATTGAGTTCAAACAGACTGTTGTTGCAGTTAAATGTTGAATAGAAGTTTGCAATTATAATAAGAGTTTGTTCAAATGCATAGGTATGCGTCAACTGCTTATTGAGTTGAATGTGTGGATAACAAGTATGATTTATTCTTCATACATAATAATATGCTATTTTGTATATTTAGCGAAATTATTCATAATAATTAGAAATAGTACTGGCAATTACAAAGAAAAACAAAGTTTTTTTTAAACATTTTTTTACAATGATATAAATGTCATGGCAAAGTTGGCGGATATACTTTGTACTTCACACGTTATTTTAAAGCAATAACAAATAGTCTTTGCATTGAGTTGGCGATTGAAGACTTGTTGAATCTTTCAGATAAAGGGGCCATCAGGAAGGCGGTTATTCTGTATAGATGCATCCGATCCTAGGACATCTAATTGGCTGAGATATATTAGAGGTGCCCGTTATTATGAAGAACAAAACATGGTGGCAGTCCAACACAACAAACAGATTTTCTACAAAACAATTAAGGTAAATTTTGACAATGATTTTGCTAGTTTCATTGAAATATCCCTGTCAGTGTAGTGGTTTTTGACACTTAGCTTTATAGTATACAACACATTTGATGGTAGACCAAAGTAACTGGAAGATTTTTATAAAAAAACACATTAAACATAAAATTGCTATAATGCCGTTTCGAAAGGTAGGTATGACTCACAATTGCATAAATGAAACGCATCAAGATAGACAGCAGTGACATTCAATATACATGTCTCCAATTATGGACAGTGGTATATTTGTTTAAGGTAGAGATGCAGGTTTGTGGGCACTTGGGAGTGAATTTGTTTTTTCTTTTTATTGTCCAAACAATCTTAGCTATAAGCTGTTAAAATTTTGTAGAATTGTGAATAATGGAACAGACTCAAAAACGACTTTAAAATGTAGATAACAGGTGCAAACATTCTCTCTTTTGAATGCTTAGCAAGATTTAGCAAGGCTGTACATAAATAATCAAAAAGAAACATGGTAAAAAAAAGAAATGATGGGATCTCCATAATATGCACTATATTTAACTTTTAATATAACGATTATACATTTAAATTTGGAACTGTTACAGCCGTTTTAAATGTGAGCATTAGCAAACTTCTTACTGTGAATTGTTATGCAAATTAGCAATTATCTCAGCTTCTTTTTAGTCCACATCAAAGAACTAGCTCCTGGACGCTTTGACCTTTTGTTTTGAAATTTCCACAAATGATTGACAATGTGTTTATCTTCAAAACGCCGTCGGGGCATTGTTTTGGGTTACAGCAACAGTGTTACAGCAATCGTACAGACAACAAGCCTGCGTGTTAATTTATGCAAAAACTTGAAGTAGTGATATTTGAGCTGCTGCCCTGCAAAATTGATAACTGGTAGACAGGTTTCAAGACGGCACTTTCTTCATAGTAAACAGATGTACCCATAAACCAATTTTGACAGGAAACAGAAGCATGGCTTAGAAGCTAATTTTTTTTTAAATCATTTTTGACCAAAAAAGCACATTTTTGTGTATATTTCAAACTACAGTGTCCATACAAAAATACTAACACAATTTTTAAATTCATACAATAAGCTTTCCGAAAATATATAGTTTTACTGGACAAGGGAGGTCATCTTGGTTTCCTAATTAACTAATTGAAATACCTGTCACGTAAACTGCATCTCTACCTTAATACTTAAAAATTGAAATCAACACATTGTAGCTATCATCCTGAATTAGGAATACATTTATTTAACACTGATCTGATGTATTTCGTTGAGCAGGACATCAGTCCAAATGAAGAATTATTATGTTGGTATAATATCCCAGTGGAATATACAGAGTATGAAGAAGTAGATAAAATAGAAAGTTCTACAGTTGAAAAAACCACATCACATATCGGCAGCAAACCAACAACAGATCTACCCAGGAAAAGAGGCAGACCACCAAGCAGGAAACGAAATAGGAATAACAAAGCGCTCAACACAACAGACAAAACTGACAATTCACCTGAAAAGGATTGTCCGAGAAAGAGAGGGAGAACATACACTCATGAGAAATATACGTTGAACAATATGAGAGAATGTGTAAATAAAGAAACTCAATTAGATCAAATGTCCACTGTTTGGAGAGATGCAGATTTGAAGCAGCCATTGAAAGAACAATTTGCTGAAACATGTCAGGACGTAATAAACACAGAGTCTAGCATATCAAAGAAACTGACTGGGCAAAGCTCTTTCACAGATAAGGTTGGAAAGAACATATCAGTTCCCTGTAATGGAACATCAGACAAAGTGAATGACTTGCCTAGGAAGGCTGGACTAAAGATCCTGGCGGAAACAAACTCTGATTCCAATACAGGTACTAATGATTCAAAACCTGACAACCACAAAGGCTGTAATGCGATGGAATTACCCAATGCAGATACTCAGGGTACTCTAGATAAGCCAAATAAAGACAGTCTTGAATACAATTCAGAGATCGTGCTAGAGAGAGAAGATACAAACAAAGTCGTTGGGCAGGTGGGAATTCTCCAACCTGTGACTTGTGAAGTAGAACGTTTGGAGACAACTAATATCAACAGTAATTTAGACGTTTTTAATACCCCAACAAAGGGGAAAAAGCAGGCAACTGAGCAAAACGAAAAGGTTTTGCAAGAAGAGCAAGAGAAGACCAAAGATGAAACAGTGAGTGTTGCATACAATGCAGATGATAGTCTAACAGAGGCCAATACAAATAAAGACAGTCCTGCATACAATTCAGGGAAACTGCTAGAGAGAGAAGATACAGATAAAGTCATTGGGCAGGTGGGAATTCTCCAACCTGTGACTTGTGAAGTAGAACGTTTGGAGACAACTAATATCAACAGTAATTTAGACGTTTTTAATACCCCAATAAATGGGGAAAAGCAGGCAACTGAGCAAACCGAAAAGGTTTTGCAAGAAGAGCAAGAAAATATCAAAGATGGAACAACGAGTAATGCATACAATGCTGATTATAGTTTAACAGAGGCCAATACAAATAAAGATAGTCTTGAAAACAATTCAGGGATAGTGCTAGAGAGGGGAGATACTGACAAAGTCATTGGGCAGGAGGGAATTCTCCAACCAGTGACTTGTGGAGTAGAACGTTTGGAGACAACGAATATCAACAGTAATTTAGACGTTTTTAATACCCCAATAAATGGGAAAAAGCAGGCAACTGAGCAAAACGAAATAGTTTCGCAAGAAGAGCAAGAGAAGACCAAAGATGAAACAATGAACTTTGCAACAGATACTAAGACAATTAATGACAGTCCTGAATACAATTCAGGGATAGTGCTAGAGAGAGAAGATACAGACAGCGTCACTGGGCAAGTGGGAATTCCCCAACCTGTGACTTGTGAAGTAGAACGTTTGGAGACAACGAATATCAACAGTAATTTAGACGTTTTTAATACCCCAACAAATGGGAAAAAGCAGGCAACTGAAAAAAAGGAAAAGGTTTTGCAAGAAGAGCAAGAAAAGATAAAAAATGGAGCAGTGAATGTTGCATACAATGCTGATGATAGTATAACAAAGGCCAAGACAAATAAAGACAGTTCTGAATACAATTCAGGGATAGTGCTAGAGAGGGAAGATACTGACAAAGTCATTGGGCAGGTGAGAATTCTCCAACCTGTGACTTGTGAAGTAGAATGTATGGAGACAACGAATATCAACAGTGATGTTGACGTTTTTAAAACCCCAATAAATGAGAAAAAGCAGGCAACTGAGGAAATGGTTTTGCAAGAAGAACAAGAGAAGATCAAAAATGGATCAATGAACGTTGCAACAGAGACTAAGACAAATAAAAACAGTTCTGAATACAATTCAGGGATAGTGCTAGAGAGAGAAGATACATACAAAGACATTGGGCATGTGGGAATTCTCCAACCTGTGCCTTGTGAAGTAGAACGTATGGAGTCAACGAATATCAACAGTAATTTAGACGTTTTTAATACCCCAATAAATGGGAAAAAGCAGGCAACTGAGCAAAACGAAATAGTTTTGCAAGAAGAGCAAGAGAAGACCAAAGATGAAACAATGAACTTTGCAACAGATACTAAGACAATTAATGACAGTCCTGAATACAATTCAGGGATAGTGCTAGAGAGAGAAGATACAGACAGCGTCACTGGGCAAGTGGGAATTCCCCAACCTGTGACTTGTGAAGTAGAACGTTTGGAGACAACGAATATCAACAGTAATTTAGACGTTTTTAATACCCCAACAAATGGGAAAAAGCAGGCAACTGAAAAAAAGGAAAAGGTTTTGCAAGAAGAGCAAGAAAAGATAAAAAATGGAGCAGTGAATGTTGCATACAATGCTGATGAAAGTATAACAAAGGCCAAGACAAATAAAGACAGTTCTGAATACAATTCAGGGATAGTGCTAGAGAGGGAAGATACTGACAAAGTCATTGGGCAGGTGAGAATTCTCCAACCCGTGACTTGTGAAGTAGAATGTATGGAGACAACGAATATCAACAGTGATGTTGATGTTTTTAAAACCCCAATAAATGAGAAAAAGCAGGCAACTGAGGAAATGGTTTTGCAAGAAGAACAAGAGAAGATCAAAAATGAATCAATGAACGTTGCAACAGAGACTAAGACAAATAAAAACAGTTCTGAATATAATTCAGAGATAGTGCTAGAGAAAGAAGATACATACAAAGACATTGGGCATGTGGGAATTCTCCAACCTGTGCCTTGTGAAGTAGAACGTATGGAGTCAACGAATATCAACAGTAATCTTGACGTTTTTAATACCCCAACAAATGGGAAAAAGCAGGCAACTGAAAAAAAGGAAAAGGTTTTGCAAGAAGAGCAAGAAAAGATAAAAAATGGAGCAGTGAATGTTGCATACAATGCTGATGATAGTATAACAAAGGCCAAGACAAATAAAGACAGTTCTGAATACAATTCAGGGATAGTGCTAGAGAGAGAAGATACTGACAAAGTCATTGGGCAGGTGAGAATTCTCCAACCTGTGACTTGTGAAGTAGAATGTATGGAGACAACGAATATCAACAGTGATGTTGACGTTTTTAAAACCCCAATAAATGAGAAAAAGCAGGCAACTGAGGAAATGGTTTTGCAAGAAGAACAAGAGAAGATCAAAAATGGATCAATGAACGTTGCAACAGAGACTAAGACAAATAAAAACAGTTCTGAATACAATTCAGGGATAGTGCTAGAGAGAGAAGATACATACAAAGACATTGGGCATGTGGGAATTCTCCAACCTGTGCCCTGTGAAGTAGAACGTATGGAGTCAACGAATATCAACAGTAATCTTGACGTTTTTGAAACTTTAACAAATGGGAAAAAGCTGACAACAGAGGAAAAGGTTCTGCAAGAAGAGCAAGAGAAAATCAAATATGGAACAGTGAATGTTGCATACAATGCTGATGATAGTATAACAGAGGCCAATACAAATAAAGATGGTCCTGAATATAATTCAGGGATAGTGCTCAAGAGAGAAGATACAGACAGGGTCACTGGGCTAGTGGGAATTCTCCAACCTGTGACTAGTGAAGTAGAGCATACAGAGACAAAGAATATCAACAGTAATTGTGACGTTTTTAAAATCCCACAAAATGGGAAAAAGCAGGCAACTGAGAAAAAGGAAAAGGTTTTGCAAGAAGAGCAAGAGAAGACCAAAGGTGGAACAGTGAATGTTCCTTACAATAAAAATGATTGTCTCATAGAGGCCAAGAAAAATAAAGACAGTCCTGAATACAATTCAGGGATAGTGCCAGAGAGGGATGATACAGACAAAGTCATTGGGCAAGTGGGTATTCTCCAACCCGTGACTTGTGAGCCGATGCAAACATTGAATGTCAAAAGGAGTATTGAGGATGCAAAGGGCTGGCAAGAAACCCCGCAAAATAGAAAAAAACAGATTGTCTGGCAAAAGCAAATAAGTTCTGATAAAGTGCAGATGACCAAGAATGGAATACCGAGTCTTGCATACAATGCAAATGGTTGCATGGGGGCGGGGAAGACAGACAAGTCTGTACAGGTGCGAGATGACTTTACAAAAGCAGGAGCATCTCATACTGAACAAGAAGTAAACACTAAAGAACACTTAAATCATTTGGACGAAATGGACATTATGAATTCGAAAAATGCAGTGTGTGTTGGTGATGATACAATTGTGAAACAAGTAATCAGCAATGCCTATAAAGACAATAAACTATCAAATAATCCACAAGGATGTGACAGTACAGTAAAAGAAACAGCATTAAGCGCCATAGTGGTAAAAGAATGTCCAATGGATAAGACTTTAGGGGAAAAAGATATTGTTGAAAGGATATCCACTATTGTTCAAGGTGAACTTAAGCAATACTGTAGTGGTCGTAGCACAACAAAAGTGACAGTCAGAGAACCACAACTAGCTATTGGCAAGTATGAATTAAACAAAGAAGTGACCTCTGTAGGAAAAATGGATCTGGATTATGAGAAAACTGCAGTAAATAAAACTATGCACGTGCCCAAAAGGATATCAACGGGAGTTGGTAATGATGGGGAATTTAACAAAGTTGTCAAAGAAAACCAGCAAAGGACTAATGATAGTTCAGCTATTGATAAACAGGAAAACCAAAAAACAGTGATGGAAACAAAAATGAAACCAACAAACGATGATGACTGTACAAGTGAGAAAAACCACAGTGTAGTTTGTAGTGACAAACACATAATCAGTAACGACCAATCAGTCCATCAACAAAAAAATGAATGTGACAGTCCACATCATATTTCTATCACCAGTATTGAAGGGAGACTAAAGATGAGCATTAAGCCCTCTGATTACACAATTGGAGAAAGAATAGTGAATGTGCAACCACCCCCATTATTAAAAGCAGACAGCCAAAATCAAACACATAATGTTGTGTCCACCTGTATGAAAGAAGGAACTGCAGATAAAGGGGAGCATGAGTCAAACCATACTTTTAGGAGAGTTGTAGAACAATATATACAACAGGCAGATTCACAGAGTGCAGATGAAATTGTACATAGTGAAGGGCGTAAATTGGGGAGTAGTCCACCAGATATCACAGAACAGTTAACATTAGAATATGAACCTTTAGACAAACGTATATGTAAGGAAATGGAAGCTATTGATGGAAAATGCGAGTATGAGTCGAGTAGACCATATCTACTTGAATTATCAGCAGGTATGATCATGGGAGGCAAAAGCAATAATACAGAAGCCCCATACGCGAGGGATGAGGAGGAGATACAGACAACTGAGGAAACAGCAGATAATGATGGTGGTAAATATGAATCAGAAAAAGCAATTAATGTTAGTGAAAACACCATTTTGGAAGAAGCTCCCGAGCCAAAGCAGAATGTAGTGGAGACGAGAGAAGATCCTGACCAAAAACTGAATGATAGTAATGGTGTATTTGACAAAGGATTTGTCTCTATGGAAGTAAAGTTACTAGAAGAAAATATAGAACATGTGGAAAGCACTGAAGAAATATCAAGTGATATTTTATATAAAACAGAAGGTGATGTCATTGACCTGCTACAGCCAATGATTTTGGAAGTTGGAAATTTATTGGCTAAACCAACAAATGACAATATAGACACATCTCAAGTAAGAACAAATCAGAAAACAAATCCTGAATGTGAAACAGAAGTGAGTACTTTCAACTGGTCAAAACTGGAAGGCAGCACATCCGGAGAAAGAACGAAAGAGAAAGTTTCAAAGAGACTGAAGATGTCGGAAGATAGCCATCATAGATTGGAAGATAGTGTGATTGACTGGTCAGAAAAAATCAAAATCAAAACTTCCCATCAGAACGCACCAGATGAAGCAACGCATTGTACATTTCAAATTGATGCTTCTGATGAAAAAAAAGAAGAACTTCCAGAAGAACAAAATATATCAGAAGATGGACAGCCTAAATTGAATTATAGTGTAATTGACCTGTCAACTGTGAAACCTAATGGGGAATATGCACAAAAGGTGAAAGCACAAACAGTGAGTGCAGAAAATCAGATTCCTGGTGAATTATTAGAATGCAATGTACATAAACTGCCAAAATGTATGTTTGAATCGAAAATACTAGTTAACAGCAGTGATGCCAGCATTATGGAAAGTGTTACAGCAAAAGAAATAGGAAAGGACCTTTTAATATGTACTATACTGCCAGATAATAGTGACCCATCTAACTCAGAAGGAAAAACTGTCAAACCATCAAAAATGATAGCTGAAGCGAAAAATGTCAGTGACAAATCTGTAGCAGACAATTGCAGTATGGATATTGAAGCATCAGTGGATATGAAAGATGAGCAGAAAAGTGATATAACCAGTGACATTACATTGAGAGATTTTACAGAACATGCATCTTCAGTGATAGTTCAGATAAATGATGGCAGCAACAATAATTTGGTCAACTCAATTTTGCAGGGTGAGAACATAAATGAATCTAAGAGAAGGACAGTGGAACATATACAGAATAAAGACGAGCTGTCTGAAATTTGCCATCATACAATGTATGTAAGTGCTGTTGACCAATTAGAACCAACAACAGTGACAACAGATAATGAAAATATATTAAATGACACTGTGGAAGTGGATGGCTCTAATAAAAGAGAGGAAGATACAAAAAATAAGAATCAGCTGATGAAAGATGTTGGCGAAAATGCACTAGAGGAAACACAATCCACAACTGAAGTAGAAGAGATTGTTGATGAACCTTCAGGAGACTATAAATTGCAATTGACAAAATATACACCTGACACATCAAAAGAAGTACAGGTAAATGATGAGACCATCAACAAACCAGTAAACAATGGTAAACGTGAGGCAGAGGATAACAAGAATCTGTTGCAAATTAAAGCTGTTGAAGACATCAGTATAGGACTTTCAGAAAGTGAAGACAATTGCAAAATGGAAGTGGGATCATGCAATGAGAAGATAGAAGAGCTGATTACTGCTTCTTATGAAGGTAATTCAAAGGAACTGTCGAACTGCGCATCATCATCAGAGGTGGTACATATGAAAGAGAGTGTGTTGGACAATGACTCATTTGGCAGCATGGATATAGAAACAGTAGAAAAGATAAAGCAATATGGTGTGATTGACCTATCAGTGAATAGCAGTGCTACACTAAATGACACTATGAAAATTGAAACATCAGCAAAAACAAGAGATGAAATGAAGTTTGATGAAACACTACTAGATATTCAGGAGAAATTAGCAAAATATATTTGCGAAGCAACTAATAACAGACAAGAGGAACAGATTACCGACAATTCCTTAGTTCATTCAGTAAACAGAAAAATAGAAGAGAATACAGAAAATCTGAATGTGAATACAAATCATGCACAGATACTTGCATTATGCAAAACAGAGTCCTCACAGACAGCATTACAAGTAAATGGTAGTGACAATACATTGCACAACGACAAATATAAAATAGGGGAAATGTCAGAACATGGCCAATATAAGATGGAAGATTGTGTTGTGGACTTGTCAACAGTACCAGATGCATCAGTAAACATCATCAAAACAACATTTTGTAGTATGGAGGTAAAAACGTCCACAGAACAACCAGAAGATGGCCAACTTATAAAGAGGGACACTGTGATGCTACCAATAGTTGTGAAAGAAGATGGCGAACTTTTAAATAACTCAAGTAATGACAGTATATTAGGTAACCCTCCACAAGTGGTAACAGATAAACTTCATAATTATGTAGATAATGGTAATGATGGTTATAATATTCAGAATGTCAAGAATAACACTGAGTGTTTAAGCAATGAAGCGGCATTTGACAATATGGAAGGACAAATATTGACTACTGATAAAGAGGTGAATAGTGGCCAAGAGCAATTTGAAAGCTTTGTGATAAATCTTTCAAAAAGGGTAGATACAGAAGATGATAATAAATTGGTCGTAGCACCAATTGACAATATAGATTAGCAACTCCTGGGAGAGGCGAACTAAAACACAATACTGAAAAAATGGCAGAATGTGGTTTGGAAGACACTGTGATAAATCTATCAAAGTGGAGATGCATGGAAGTTAGTGATGGAAAGATTTCAGACAAAGCTACACCTACAATTAAGAATGTAGCATTCATTGAAGCCGAAACAGAGGAGCAGTTACTGGAAACAGTGAAATTGGTAGCAGATGATAAACAGGTTTTGCGGGATAGCATGTTGGATCCATCAAAAAGAAGTATCGATGGAACAGAAATTGTGATTAATTTTTCAAAACAGAAATCTAAACTCCATGCATTGGGAGTGACCAAGGAGAGCAATACAGGTTATTCTGGGCTGTCAAACATGACAACAGAAAATGATAGTGGTGAAGTACAATCATCAAAGAAGAAAACAGAAGTAGAACAAGTAGACCATGGAGTTAAAAGTCTAATCCATACAAGTGAGGCACATGTGCAGATTTCTGAAGATAAGGCAGGTAATGAGGCAGTGAAAAGTGATGATACAGAAGCAATAGGAGAGAATTGTATGGAAAATACAAGTGACAACATTAAAAAGATGTACAATGCTGAACACCCTGATGAGACATTCCACCAAACCAAGACTAGTAGGAGTCATAGTTCTGAACAAAATGTGTTCTCTGGTGAGGATGCTGAAGCTACATCAGAAGATAGTTCAGGCAGGACTTGCCAAGCAACAGTAGATATCAAATCTAAGGATCAACAGAAATCAATTGTCAATGAAGATGTAGGTTTGGATGCAAATGGTATAGAAAGGGTAAAGGTTTGGAACAGAAGTACAACCAACAGTGAGAAACAGGCTCTGTATTTTGACTCAGAAGACATGTATGGTGGACACAGTGTTTCAAGTGATGATATCACTACCCTGACTGAATCCCTGAGGTTATTGAAGACCAATGGGTGCAGTGACATGAGTGGATCAACTATTCCTCAGCCATGTAAGGATGATAACATATATGGTTTCAACAGAAAGAATAAAGTAAAGTTAACATCTTTCAGCAAAGGTAAATCATGAATCATTATAAAAATGTGTTTGTTTTGAACGGAAAGTTCAAAGGAAATACATCCAGTGAAATGCATGTAGCATATGATATATTTATATATAAAAAAACTTGATGAGAGAAAAAACTCCCTGACGGAATTCAGTGTTGTAAAACTGTTTCATCATGTCATTTTTATTTTTTTAACTAACAGGGACTATTCTTGAAGAAATTGAGAAATCAACCAGTGAATTGAATATCAGTATGTCAGCAGCCAAGAATTTTATTGATGATAAAATAAGTCTTGATAAAGAAACCGATCTACTTGCTGTTGGCCAAAATGAAATAGAAAATGATGACAATCAATCCATTAGTGATACAGACACTACTACTTATGAATATATGCAGGGAGACCTGTCAGAAGGGGATGCCAGTCAACATGATGAAATAATGTCTAAGAATACATTTGTTACATCTACATTTCTGTTTGTGGATGACTTTAGAGAAGAAACTAAAAAAAAGGAAGTTGATGGCTTAGATATTGGTATGGCCAAGAACCACACTGAGCAACATATTAGTGACCTCGCACCCAGGTACCAGGATGATAATCTTTCTCTGACTGAAAGAAATGTCTGTACATCAGAATTGAAAGAAAGGCTGTATACACTGGATTCGGCTAAGTCTAAATATGGCTTTAATACCAACAGAGAAGGTGGAACTTGCATGGTGAAGCAGACAAAGACTGATTTTCAGATGGATTGTGATTGTGAGTCTTCTACAGAACATGGTCTTCCAAATGAAACAGTAATATCGAAAGACAATGTAGACACAGTTCATGAAATCTCTAAATATGACTTTGAACAAACTGGTGACCCTGGTATAAATATCCTTGAGAATCGATGTTTAGGAAACGCTGATTCAACTGATGGACAAATGATTAAAAGTAAAGAAAATAGTACTGTCAAACAAGCTGAGATTGATGCATTTGCTTTGCCTAATTCTAACTGTAGTGGGGATGGATATATTGTGGGAAGAAAAGAAAACCACTGCAATGCTATAAAAGAAGCCACCACTGAAAGGGCTGATACACAGATGAAAACGAGCAAATACAATACAAATGAAATAGTGATATTCAAGAAAGGAAGTTTCAGGAAACATAATTTTCCCAAAGCTTATTTGCCAATACAGCGAGATGAAGCAGGAAAACCCATTATTTTTTCAAGTTTTAAACAATTTGCTATTGATGAGACATTTCTTAGGCAGCAGGTGAGGGGCAAAAGAAGGAAGGCATATCTCAAATGCCAGTTGTGTCCATGTGCTGTTGAACATCGCGCCAGTCTTAAAAGACACTATTTTGTGCATCATGTTGAAGACAAATTTAAAAACCTTTCAGGAAAGTCAAGAAAGATGAAAATCGCAGAACAAAATGAAAAAGTTTGTAACAGAGATATCGGTTCCAGGAGACAAATTCATAATAGGACATTGCCAAATACTACATGCAATAGTATAAATGTTCAGGAAAATGAATTACCAAATTCACGCAAACTGCGAAGTGCAGTGTACCATGAGAAACAAAACAAGAAAGATAGTGCCATGTTGTTTAATGAAGAAGATGTTGACGATGAAGTTGGTGATCATAAACCACTATATCCTTGCAAAATTTGTGGACAACTTCTCAAATCTCACAAATATTTAGTTGAACACATGAGTTCACACACCAATCAAGAGATTATTAATTGCCCCGAATGTCCCCGACAATTCTTATGTAAAGCAGCACTAGACAGACATTTTCTGATGCATAGTGGAGATAAGCTGTACAGTTGTACATATTGTGATAATAAGTTTTCAACATTAGATGGTTGGAGAAAACATGAAAAACTGCATTCCGGATTTAGACCACACAAATGTGATAAATGTAAAATCACTTTTATTCATGAAACTGATTTACAGAGGCATATGAACATGAAGCACACAGATAATGATGGCTCAGAAGAGGTAAAATCTCCATGCACAAATCCAAATGCAACAGTTGATCAAAATGATCACTCAAAATCTCCTAAGAACCATAAATGTACAATGTGCCAAAGGATATTTCGTAAGTCAAGTGGTTTAAGACGGCATATGAACCTTGTTCATAAATATTTCAGACTGAAACCTATGAAGTTTGCAGATTATTCACAAGATGTTACTGACATTAGCAGTGATTCTAGTCTTGATGGTTTTATTGAAGCAGATAACTTTAAAGATGCGGTTTCCGATAGTCTATGTCAATACTTGGATGGAAAAATAATATCTGAGAAACAAAAAACAGTAACACCGGTATTACATTCATCAAAAGAAGCCATTCCAAAAATCCGAATATCTATAAAAGACAACATATATGAGCAACATATTGTAAAT